GCCCCCCCCCCCCTCGAGCTCTGTCCCCATCCTCATCTTAGCTCTCTCTAATCCATAGTAACTCCCATTTCTCATTAGTTGATTGGTTGGCTAGATTCGACTCTTTCACCTCCAGTGAGGCTGGTTGGTGCCTGGGCTCAACAACTGACTTTCCTAGTTCGTTAGCTAGTTAGCTCATGAAACATGACGACAGGAAGCCCACGACAACCGAAAGGAGGTCATCAAGGATGGGCAGTCATAAATGGCTTGGATCTGGTGCTAGGCAAGTTGTGAGGGATCGGCAAGGACCCTCCACTTCTTGGGCTGTTCGGGCGGAAAGATCTCGCGAAGATGTTCTGTGCCTCAATGCCAAAGATGTCACCGAGTCTCTGCATCCACCTCAGCACGGCTGGGTTCGCCCAGACCTCATCTCACCAAAAGAGTGGGTGTTCAGCGACACGACAGTAAAAGGTTGAGCCAATCAAACCTCGTCAGCAAGCACTTCGTTATCCACCGTCTCTTCTACTTCAGTGTTTTTGCTTTCCTCTGAAGGCTCTCCACTAACTTGTGCCATGGAGCGCCCAGAAGCACACCATAAGAGGCCATGTATAACTAGGGCACCAATGATGACTCCGGCACTGCTAAGCCAGATGTTCTCAACATCATAAACAGGAGAATGAAATGTATGCACAAGGCCAAGGACAACAGAAAAGGGGATCAAGACGAGCACAGAAAACGGAATGCCAATATCATATGCCACAGCCCGTTGGAGGTATAGAAGGAGAAGTGCCAGGCCACAAACATAGTGGGCAGTGAAATTGAAGATCCGGTCCATGACCAACCAAAATATAGCATTGGGTTGTGACTTTTGTATGATGGAGTCGGAGAAGGAATAGCAGAGATCAGTGTCAATCGCATCGGTTGATGGAGGAGTCAGAATCAAAGAACCTGTGTAAGCCAAAACTGTAATTGTGGACCAGCACAAGGCTACCTGGAAGAGACAACGAAAGCCCCAGGACTGGACAGCCTTGCTTTCATGATTCATGGAAGGTTTTGAAAAAATCAAATAGAGATACCAGATATAGAATGCAGTTGACAACCACAAGACCCATGTTGTAAGCCAAACAAATGGGGCAATCTCTGTTGCCTCCTTGATTCCACTGGCGATGCAAGCTTGTTTGCTCTCCCAGGTCACAATGACATAGATATGGCTGATGTTTGAGAGGAGGAGAAGGAGGCCAATGATGCCCATCACGATAGCTCGAATTGCTGGGCACAACCAGCTGCACAAGGTCGGAGTGGGAGCCTGGCTAACCTCTGCTTTTCCCTCAGCAACATTGTCTCTGTTGTGGTTTGCAAGTTCTGTCATGTTCAAAGGGAGCTCGCTCATTGTAGTTGACTAGATTGTGTGCTTTGTGGGTCTACCGGTGCGTGGAGTTGTTTCAGCAACTCGGCGAGTGGGGGAAAGTGTTACAGCCCAGGATTGGAAAACACTTCATATTACAGGGCGATGCGGTAAACTTTATGTAGAATAGAAATCTAAAAGTAAATAAGAGCAAACGTTTTAACCCTGTATTTACCTTTACTACCGCTCTAAGCTGTCTTGCCGAATGGCAAAATCCTGCACGGCTGCCTACTTCAAAAGAAGGGAAGTGGGGAACTTGTTAGTTGATTTATTTGGTTGTTTTGCCCCTCCAACCCGATGATTCACCTTGTACCAGAGGATACAGGATTCTGGTGCCAATACCGGTACCACAAGTACCGTACGACTGTACCAAGAGGCCAGCACCTCCGCAGCACCCTTGATGGAGAACTGGTATGGAACGAGAAAGGGGGTCTAGAGCTAGAGTCTAGGAGGATCATCTACCGAAGCCTTTAAGAGAAGCAAAGAAGAGTCCAAATTCAGGACTAGGTTCCGTGGGTTTAGGGGCGATAAATTGAGGACCAGTGCGTGGGCCGAAGGCCTTCTTCTCTGAATTCGCCATGGCGTCGACAGAGTCCGAATCGAAGCGTCGCCGCATCTCTCTGGAAGAGTCCCGGCCTCAGCCATCCGTGGTTGTATCCTCCTCACCCACAGGAGTCCACCCTGCTGATGACCCTGCAGCAGTGTCCGTTGTAGCCCCAAAATTAGACGAGATTCCTCAGCTGCTGTTTGTGGAACTTCACAAGGACAGACCAGAAAGTGTTGTTGAAGCTTTGAAGCGAATCAGTGATCTGTTCTTGGTTCAAGATGATAACAATAAGCATGACCCAGCTATTAAGAATTGGGAGAAAACACATTACCTTGGACCCATCAGCTTTGTGGTTGTCACCATGAACAAATGGTCCACAAACCATGATGTCCAACTCTGGTCATGCGGCGCCCTCTGTAACCTTTTGAGTGTTAAGAAGTCCAGCACTGCAATGCTCTCTATGGCTAAATCTGGAGGCGTTGAAGCTGTCATCGGTGCCATGAAAACCTTCCCCCAGTCAGACGACTTACAAATGGATGCCTGCATGGCCCTTGGTAACACATTTTTTAATGTGACCAAAAGGCACAAAATTGTACAAGACTGTGCTGCTCGCTTTGTGGAAGAACTCGAAGGTGTAGCTCTCATGCTCGGAGTCATGAAACAATTTCCTGATGATGAGGAACTCCTGAACAACTGCTGTTGGTTATTCGACAGTCTGGCTACTTGCTTCCCACAGCATCATGGGATGTTCATTGACGCTGGAGTTGTGGAAGTTGTTGCCTCAGTCCAAAAGAGGTATTCTGGCAATGAAACACTGAAACAAGCTACAAAAGAGTTCATGTCCACAATGTTCTCGTGAGTAGCTAGCTAGCTAGCTACTTTCCCAATAGTGGGGCTCTTCAATTTACCGGTAAACTGGACGATGCACCATGGTCGAAACTGGCCTTTATACGGTACAGGTCGTAGCTTGTCACGTTGGTGGACGCGTTGCAAAGAACCGTACCGGTACGGTACCATACAGTACCCTACCGTATGGGACAAACTATAAATATCCCTAGCGCTAATGAATGTCTGTCCGTCAACCCACGTGCTTCCAACCAGCCTTTCGAAGCCAAGCAAATCGAAAGCACAACATAAACCTTTAGCCAACATCAAAAAGAAATACTGTAGACTACGGAAGGCAACCATGGTGTCCACTCGAAGGCAACAAGCTGTCAAGAAAGTGGCAGAAGAAGAAGCGGAAACATCGTCTTCTTCTTTGAAAGAACCAGAAGAAAAACAAGATGATGACGCCGCGGAAAAGGACGAAACCAACGATGCTCCCGTTGCAACCTCCAGTACCAAGAAGAAGCCGAAGAACTCGCCTCGTCAATTACGAAAGCAACAGAGAGAAGTTCTGCGTTCCAAGAATATGGGGATGATTCGTATCCCATCAGGAACAGCTAAAGAACCGACGAAGCAATCCAACAAGATTGTCTTTAACGACGACGATGACGACAGCCAAGATGAGCCAGAAATTGTTGCCAAAGAGAATGATGAAAAAGTACACGTCGACGACAACGAGAATGATGATGAGGCACCAGAGCAAGCCGTGACAACCACCACTACTGATACTATGGCTGTCAATTATCAACAGGATGATGATGATGATGATGATGCTGTGGAACAAGTGGACAGTTCGGTAGCTCGCAACATGGCCATGGCCGAACGCCAGCGAGAACGAGATTTCCGTCACGCCGCAACCAAACGAAAGCGAAAGCGCAAGACTCGTCCCGAAGAAGAAGACGAGACAAAAGAAGAAGAAGAAAACTTGGAAGACGACTTTTTTGCCGAATTGGATGCTCAAAAGAAGGCCAATCGCAAAGCTCGCAAATCCAAACCAGAGAAAGCAATTCCCAAACACACCATTTTCCAATCGGCCGAGGAGGAAACATCCAGTCGACAAGTCAATTCCAGTATGCAAGTCGTCGTGCTAGGACAGGACGACGATGACGAGAGCCGAGAACAAACTGCCATGGCATTGGCACTCATGACAACGGAGCCTTCCCAAACGGCTCTGTTTCACTCGCAACGACGCATTGCCGATGGATCCGACATTGTGTCTGCCAAACAACTCCAAAAGCAAAAGAAGCATGGACTCAAACCACCGCAACCCACTTGGAAACGATCCAAAAAGATGAACCGATTGTTGCTGGGCAAACGACACGGAAAGGCGGCTGCCAACTTTGTGGTCAATCAGCAAGCCAAGACGTTCAAGTTCTAGCTCTGGTAGTAATCTAATCTAGTCAGGCTTGTGGATTACGTTGTTGGTTTCGTTAGCTATTTGCATCTATCATTAGCTACTGACAGCTGCACTAGCTGCTTTGACTTTAGCTTGAATGGCCTGTTCCAATTTCTCTGTTTCGCCAATAAACGCGCGGATGCCTTCCCCCAACTTGTCCGTGCCGCAACCATCCATGTTGAGCAAATACCGGAATTCCTTCTCGTCCATTTGGCCGTCGCCAATGAGGGGTTCCTCCGAGGCGGCAGCAGCCGTGGGCTCCAACACTCGTGGCAAGGGGTCTTCGCTGGACGCCAGTTTCTCCAACAGTGGTGCCGGGATGGTCATGCGATCCGTACCCGCCAGCGCCACAATCTCGTCCAATTCAAAACCCGGTCCACGAGATGGCCGCCAGCTAGCTGGCATGCAAATGGTATCGTGGCCGTGGCACTATCGATCGATCCGTAAGAAGGATAGTATTGTTGTCAATTGTCGTGTTTGTAGTTGTAGTGTAATCAGATCAAGTCAAGTCGCAGAATAAAAGGTTGCGTTACATGATGCAGTCCCAAGTAGTTAGAATTACACACCCACAAATCTTGTCTATGAATAACTCACCACTGCCCACTCACCTTGTAGTAATTGTACATTTTTCGAACCGCCACAACACCTTCATCTTCTGACGGAGGAACTCCTTCGGTTCGTCCTTCCAGAGTCTTGTGCCAATCCAGAATGCGTCCGGGAAAGGGGGAAATGAGATGGGCTCCGTACTGGGCACATGCGACGGCTTGGACAAAGGAAAAGATTAACGTCAGATTGCATTGAATGCCTTCCTTCTCCAAAATCTCGGCGGCTTTAATGCCCTCCCACGTGGCGGCCAATTTGATCAAGACGCGTTCTTTGGGGACACCCATGCCCTTGTACATTTCGATAATCCGACGGCCGCGGGCTACCGATGCTTCCGTGTCAAAGGATAATCGTGGATCGACTTCGGTCGAAATGTAGCCTGGTACAATCATGGCAATGGCGGCTCCCAGATTCACCGCCAGCCGATCAATGGCCAAGGACACCGTGGCGGCTTCGTCGTTTTCACCGGCTTCCATGGCAAATTCCACAGCGCGGTCGACCAACTATATATGCGTAATCCATGAATAAAAAGTTTTAGATAAGAAGTTAGAGATCAGAAGCAAATGGGAATGATAGCCTCTCTTTTGAAGAACCAAAGGCACGAATCCATGAAACACACACTACGACCATCCACATACGCTACATACCTCGGCATAGGTGGGATCTCCACTTAATCCTGCTTGCGAGACAAAGAGTGGATTGGTGGTGGCATCCGTAATGTACCCAGTCGCTGCATACTCTTCAATCACTTTCAAGTCTCCACTGTCAATCGAAAGAGTCGTCATGCTGGCCAATTGGGCCAATTGAGAAGATTCCGAGGCAGATACCATGGACAACGAGGTCTGCCTAGTACTCGCTCGAGTTGTTGTGGAGACAGTGAATCCATGGCTAGTAGGAGACAGAGCCAGGAGACTGGCCGTCAAGAAGCTGAGGGTCCTGACCATCATCATGGTGCTAATGTATGTATCAGCGGCAAAGTAAGTGTGGATGTTTGTGGTCCGAGGCGTGGACGTTGCAGAAGAAGCGCCATGGTGGCGTCGGATCATCGGAGCGATCTTGGATCTTTTGGATTTCAGATGATGACGTTTGTTTTTGTCAGATTCGTTTGGATTCGTTGAAAATATCTTATATTTCTCTTTTTATGGAAAAATCCTGGCTGAGGGGAGGCCACACAGGCCAGCCAAAGGCCCCCTCCAGCAAATTTTGTTGCCGCACCACAAGAACATGGACTGGAGGGGAAACACAAGCTGCATTCATGTCTATTACGCTATGTTTGGTACGGAAGTCAGTTATTGTTGCGATGATCTATACTTTAGTTCTAGAAAAATTGTCTTGCTTCCACTTCACACTCTATGTGGTTCTATTGGGTGAAACATGAGCATTTTTTGCTCAATGATTTGAATCTCTAGTTTGAGGCAGAGCTGGCGAGACCTCGTCGCATCTTTCCATGGTCCTGCCCAGTGTAGATGGGGTCAGAGACTGTGCCACTGATATCAATTGGGGGATTGGTGTCAGACATGAAGTTGCTTGGATCTTGTGTAATGTCATTGCAGATGCAATCCACATTGGGGTAGCTGTTGTTGTCATCCCACAACAAGTAAACGAAAGCACGGCAGCATCCTCCTGTCTTTGTGCTGGGATCGTTGGTTGCACAGACACTGTCACTCTCAGCATTTGTCTTCTGTGCTTCTGTAATGGAAGACCATGGGACACATGGCCTGATCTCCTTCAATCCTTCACTTTCAATATTCCCATTGCGGGCAGAAGGTCCTTTTTTGAGCTCACGCTTGTTCTCATCCTTCTCAACATCATCGTTTCCGTTGGGAGTTGGTTTCTCAAGCTTGCGTCTGTGGCCAGGCCCATTGTTACTAGGCCCAGGGTTGCTAGAAAATGGTGGAAGTGTGGAGGGTACAAAGCTGTTTGGATCTTGTGTTATGTCATTGCAAATGCATGGAACATAAGGATAACTGTTGGTAGCATCCCATAGGAGCCAGTGGTAGTCGCGACAGCACCCACCAGTTGATGGGGGATTGCTCACGCAGGCACTGTCTGTTTGGGGGTTTGTCGTTTGTGCAGATGAGACAGAAGACCAGGGGACACAAGGCTTTATCTCAATCAGTCCATCTCTGGCAACACTCCCTTGACCTTGTGTTGACTTGAGAGCTCGAAGCCTTCTTGGTTGAATTTCAAAGTTGCCTTCAGCTGCCGCTTTGTTGTCTTTAGCACCCTTGATTGCAGAAACAGAGCTGGGAGTGCCCGCTGCTGCCAAGATGAAAACTGGTAGGCTCATTTGAATCTTCATGGTAGTTGTTGTGTTGTGTTGTGTTGTGTTGTGTTTTTGTCTGCTGTTGTTGTTTTTGTGTTGTGTTTGTTTTTGTGTTGCTGTTGGTACAGTATTGTGAGCCTCTCCTCCTCCGAACCGTCTGCCACTTTCGATGTACCGGGTAGGGTACGTATGTTCATGTGCGATTGAAACAAGCACTCTGATAGCTTGACTCTTGCTTTGCCGGTTTAATTAACCAGCATGTTGAAGAAAGAGCAACTGAAACATGGATAATCAGTGCTCTTCTTCTTCGGTACCTGGTACCCGTACCGGTACATGTACATGTACCGGAACAGGACCGGTACATTGTGCATACCACACGAAGAGCGATTTGCTGTCTTCAAGATAAAGGGGGTCGAGAGGCAGGTGCTATCTGTCTTCACTCGTGAGACCGACACTACCGGTATGGCAGATTTATGGCATACCGGTACCGATACCAGCGCAGACTGCCAATCCGCACAGCGGTACATTCCTCTACGAGTTCTGAAATTTTCGCTGTCTCGATGCTTTGCTATATATGCCATTTCTAAACGATCTTCTGTATAAAACGTAAAGATTGAGGACAATGATGAAGATGCAGGCAACAAAGGATTCACCATAGAATGCCAAGGTGGCGAGAAGCTCGTTGTCTCGGATGACGAGGCCGGGGTGATATTCCATCTGGTGGAATACTTTCGGAATGTCTTCAAACACGGAACACGAGAATCCTCTGACAGACTTCTACGCAAGCTGGATTGGTCTCTGGCCATTGCAAAGCAAGTTGTTGCCTATCTGACACTCAAACGTGTCGAAATCTCTGATGGTGACTGGCAAGCCACCATAGAATTTGTGGAAGCACTTCATCAAATCCTTGTGCCAGCACGAGCCTACTATCCAGTATTGCGTCCACTCTCTGGAGCTCATGTGGAACCCCAACTCCTTCGTAACCTCTTTGGCATTCTAAAGAATGAGGGGAACACTCAGTTTTCAGAGAGGATGAAAGTCTGTGGAATCTTTTGGAAGGTGGCTCTCAAATGCGGTGTCCTTCTGCTTGACGAGGATTCTGAGCTTGATTTTGGGTTGCAAAAGGGCAGCCAAAGTGAGACACAGCTCAAACGGTTGAAAGCTACGATGGTACAGTCCAGAACCTATCATGTTTTGTCTCCTCTCTCGCTTGCAAATGCTGTCGCCCGTATTGCCAAGATCATGCATACAGGAAGCTTGAAAATGGCAGAAGCGAAACACATGAACAGGCGTGGGTATTTCAGCCCCCCCAACCCCGTTGAGGAAGACACCTTGAGCATTATGATCCCCATTGAATACATCGCAGACGGTTGCCGAAGAAGCAACAAAGCCACGATGGAGATGTCAAGCGATTTTTACCATTTTCGTTGATTTGTTTAGTGACTCTTTCAGTGGAGGATTCGGAAACGTCACTGCCGAATCCGCAGTCAGGGATGCCGTGAAGAGAGTCTCCGATGCAACTGGGACCAAAGGTAGCCTGTATCACCCAAAGAAATCGTCAAGGAAGTTTCCGTTATTCTACGGCACGTTCTCCCAGCTGAAGCAATGCCTTGACTTGTTCAAGGATGAACTTGACCACGGAACAGATGACGGTGGAATCGATGATGCCATTCCAGAAATGGGGAAAATCTCTCTTCGTGTCGCGGCACCTTCCTCTGAGACTCTGCAGAAACTAATTGACGCCTTGCTCCGCAGCAATGACAAGGAGCATGAAGTTGACTTTTATCACAACTCCCACAACGTCCGGAAAGGTACGGAGGCAATGACACAGCTACTGTCATTCGCATCGGACCCACAAGCGCCTTCCAGCAATGAAATGCTGTCTTCAGATTCAGCTTTCACGCTGAAGGCAACAGAGCGGCACTACCATTAGATTGTTCCATGCTAGCAACTCAACTCGCTGCTTTTTGACCACCGCAAGTCCTGTTGTCTGGTGATGCTGCTGTGCTGGCAAGGCTACCTACCTGTTACTTTCCAGCGATGTGAGGAGGCTCGTGCATAAACGACTTCCCCAATGGCAGACAACGGCCCCAAACCTAAACGAAGCACTTCAACAATCTCAAGTCTCTTCTTATCTGACAGTATTAACTATTAAGTATCACTCTTTTGCAGCATCATTAATGATGAAGGACCCATGCTAAGATTATGCAATTAGCAGGCTCCTTCACCAACTTGATAGACGATGATAATAGTGCAAAATCCGCGCAATCGCCATCACTACCGGTACCAAGCCAACAACATGACAGGCAAGGATGACATTGCTTTTAATGTCTTTGGTGATGACACTGTTGATTGGCGGGAAGACTCGATCGTGGTACAGGTAGGCGAAGTGCAAGGCGCCCATGTAGAAGCAAAAGCCAGCCAGTTGTTGTGTTTGAAAATGATAGTTCACTGCACTGCGCTGAATTCATCATCAGGTGGTGATCTTGGCGGTAAGTTATCCACCTACAAAGATCCTCGTTCAATGTCCCAAACATCACCCTCTGGTCCTTTCCGTTTTGCCACAACAGCATCAATGGCATCCGTTTCATCTTGTCGCAGTTCAAAGGAATGTGTCCTTACATTCTCTGCAATATGATCTTGATTTCGCACTCCAATCAACACGGACGCTACAGCAGGCGTTTGCAAAATGTACCGCTGCGCCACATTGGCAATGGTACATTCGGCACAGCGACCATCCCGGCGCACTTGATTTGCAATGGCGTCCATGGTCTGCAGAACTTCCTGGACCAAACTCCAACTCCCAAATCGTGCGGCGGTATTGCTGTACATGCGCATACTGGCGGTATTCTTTTGCTCCTGCGTCGGTGCCGGTTTGCCCAGATACCGCTGACTCAAGATTCCACTCCCGACCGTTCCAAAGGCAATGAGACTAATCTTTTCGGCGGCGCACCAATCGGCCATGCCCGATTGAATGGGTCGTCGATCCAATGCCGATAATTGCACCTGATGAGAGACAATGGGTACTCCCGCCTTTTTGAGTTCCTTGAGTTTTGGTAGATCAAAGTTGGTGGCCCCAATTTCTTGAATCAATCCTTCCTCCTTTAATTCGGTCAACCAGAGTGCCACATCTACGTATTTCTTGACATCGTATCGAAGCCAAAAGTACTGCACCAATGGCAATTTGGCGACTTGTAGTTTTTCGCACGCCTGTTGAAGAATAGAGAAACATAGAAATCAAATGAGTTCACACCAGTCATCAGAAATTTCATGGTACCCAATTATATCCAAGTTTCTTTGTTTTACTGATTGCTTTTGATGTGTCTCTGTCTCTGCCTCACTCACTCACCTTGGTAATTCTCTGTCGCACTTCATCGCGTGTGATTTCATCCAAAAATCGAAAACAACAAAACTTGGTACAGGGAATGGCATTGGGTTGTTTAGCCATGAATTTTCCCATGATGATTTCACTGGGTCCGTAGATATCGGCCGTATCCAATGTGGTAATACCCGCCTTGTAGTGCGCTTCCATGTTGGCCAATGCATCGGCTTCTCGAATTTTGCCATGGCCACCAGCGAGCTGCCAATGGCCTTGAATGGTACGCGATACTTCCAGACTGCTGTCACCGAGTTGAACGGTCGGGACAGTTTTGGTTTGGTCTTCGGTGGCAGCACGAGCCGATCGAGGCAAGATCAATCCCGTGGTGGTAGCCATGGCCGCCTGTTGACAGGCTTGACGGCGAGATAGTTGTGAAAAGTCATCTTCAAAGAGATGACGATGAGCCGCAAGTCTTGTGGTGGTGGTGGAAACTGTACTTGGCTGCCCATGGAGGACGAATGACTCCGACGGTTGCAGGCAAACAGCGACAACTAGCAGTAACAGGCTCGCCATAGTCGCTGGGTTGCTGTCAATTGAGGACGGTGGCAACCCGCTGAGAAAATCTTGCTACTCCGGCGATTAAGTTGAGAATTCTCAAGTTTTCTACAGGCTGGCTTCGAAGTCACAAACCCACCAGAACCAGCCTGTACGTTTCTCTCTTTGTTTCAGAGACTGCAATATTTACGCCCTGTGTTAAGAAAGTACGGGAATGATGAGTCCTGTAACGACAGAATTGCTAGCCTGACCCCTAAAGGTTGATACAAAAGACTTAAAGATGTCAGAAAAGACTTAACGAGTAAAACATAGCCTCAACCCTACCGTATCAACAAGGGGCATGTTGAATGTTTTGTTTTTTAACTCCACCATCGTATCAACATGATGTTATTAACACCATACCTCCTCTTATATCCTTACTGTTTACAGCGGAGATACTACTCTTGAAGAAGCCTTTTGAGAATCAAGTCTCCAACATGACAGGCTCTTTGTTTGGTTATGCTGGAACTGTTGCAGCGAGCTTCTTGCGTTCGATTGGATTGGATCGAATCGAATCATTCGGTGGATAACAGACTGATTCAATGAAGCCACCATGACGACTCCACCGTACCACCAGTATCGGCTACTATCAATAACAGCAGTAGCACCGCTTGACTCAACTCGTCTTCAATTATGTTTGACGCGTGTACGATGTACTACTACTCTTCGGTCTTCGCGTCTTCCGAGACTGGTTGACACCAGTAGAAATTGCAAAAATGAGTTTCCCACTTTGCTAGTCGTTCGTTACTTCCACGCCGCAAATGGCAAGCCATACTGCCACTGCGCGCCACATCAAATTATGTATTCCCTATCTCAGTGTTGCAGGGACTTATTGGTTAAACTGCTAGGGTATTGCGGACAGCCAATGTGACATGTTTATTGATGAGGATGTGCCCAGGCAGGAACAAGCAGATACTTTCAAAAGTGTGGTAACCTGTGATTCCACAGTGTTCCGGGAATTTCACCATTTTCAAATTCTCACCTTTTCGTCCGAGTAGCTTGGGCACTGGATCTTTTGGTGTCAGATGAGTTGACGTCAGCTCTAAAGATCTCTTACTCAATCCGCTCGACTGGCTTGATTCGATTGAACTGAAGATTCGGGACTGCACTTTAGAATATCGTAACATCGTAACTCTAAAGTCTAAGCATGTACCGGTACCAGGTACCTGGTACCTTTTGGAACGGTAGCTGGGTGGACTAGCCAGCTAGAGAGCCACAGTTAGTTGATCACAGCTACCTACTGTAGTCAGGGTAACCGCGACCGGTACCACACGTGTACCTACCGAACCGGTACCAGGAAAAAGTGAGGACACTTTTGTCGTCTTTATCTCCCGGCTGAGGATATTCACGTCTGAGTAACGACTGAGTGGCTGCTCACTTAGTCTGCTATCTCACAGAGAATAGCAGACTAAAATACTCAGGATCCGGGACTGAGTAGAACTTGACGCTGTTCCTGGCTTTCATCTGTGGCTTCCTCATCTGTGGCTTCCTCATCTGTGTACGGTTGATGCAACAACCATCGTTTTCTTCTCATTTATTCTGCACGAGAAAGCTACTCCGGCGATTAAGTTGAGAATTCTCAAGTTTTCTACAGGCTGGCTTCGAAGTCAAACCCACCAGAACAGCCTGTACGTTTCTCTCTTTGTTTTTGTAGCCTTAGCTTTAAGAACAATTTATGATATTTACGCCCTGGTGTTAAGAAAGCTACGGGAATGATGAGTCCTGTAACGACAAAGCTAGCCTGACCCCTAAAGGTTGATACAAAAGACTTAAAGATGTCAGAAAAGACTTAACGAGTAAAACATAGCCTCAACCCTACCGTATCAACAAGGGGCATGTTGAATGTTTTGTTTTTTAACTCCACCATCGTATCAACATGATGTTATTAACACCATACCTCCTCTTATTATCCTTACTGTTTACAGCGGATGGATACTACTCTTGAAGAAGCTTTTGAAGAATCAAGTCTCCAACATGACAGGCTCCTCTTGTTTGGTTATGCTGGAACTGTTGCAGCGAGCTTCTTGCGTTCGATGGATTTATTGGATCGAATCGAATCATTCGGTGGATAACAGACTGATTCAATGAAGCCACCATGACGACTCCACCGTACCACCAGTATCGGCTACTATCAATAACAGCAGTAGCACCGCTTGACTCAACTCGTCTTCAATTATGTTTGACGCGTGTACGATGTACTACTACTCTTCGGTCTTCGCGTCTTCCGAGACTGGTTGACACCAGTAGAAATTGCAAAAATGAGTTTCCCACTTTGCTAGTCGTTCGTTACTTCCACGCCCCAAATGGGCAAGCACTAGCCCACTGCGCGCATCCAAATTATGTATTCCCTTCTCAAAGTTTGCTAGGGCGACTCTATTGGTTAAACTGTAGGGTATTGCGGACACCAATGTGACATGTTTATTATGAGATTGCGCAGCTGGATGTGCCCAGGCAGGAACAAGCAGATACTTTCAAAAGTGTGGTAACCTGTGATTCCACAGTGTTCCCGGTGAATTCTCACCATTTTCTAAATTCTCACCTTTTTCGTCCGAGTAGAAAGTTATGGCGGAAGCTAGCCAGACGGTTGTCTCAAGCGCGCAATGTTGCGGACTGGGTGAAGAGCTCCTCGATAGTCGAATCACTTGGATCCAGCGCGCTTTTACACTTGTCGACATTGCCGACGCCTGTTTAGACTACTACTTTGTGGCATTTTTGGTTTCTCTTGGCCATCCAGGGTATGCTGCTCTTGCGGCAATATGCACCACCCTGGCTCTGTTTGTGCATTGTCAGCTTACCGCTGCTATTCCGCTCGTCTTGGCAAACGACGCGCCAAGAAGCATCGCCATTGCAGCAAGAGAGGTTTTTGTCTTTCTTTTGGAAGATTGCACAAGCCTCTTTATCTTTTTGAAAATTCCTGGTCTTTATGATACGGATGATGGTTGGGCTGTCGCTAACTTGTTTATTTCCGTTCTTGTGGGCTGTTTTAGTGGGGCTTTCTACGCTGCCGTCTTCCGTGCTTTCCAAGGCAGTGTTGGATGCGTCGGCAATCCCCTTTTGACTTCGATTGCTTTCTTTGTGTTTGTTTCGATTACTTATTTATTGGGTGACAGGGAGGTTTCAGACACAATGAACACGGTGATCACTGCCATCTATTGGGTTCAATTTGGCTTTTTGATGCTCCTTCTCGCCGTCCCTTGCTGCTTTTTAAACGTACCCGAAGAAGAAAGTGAAGAAGGAAGTAAAGAAGGATCCAACAACGAGACGCAGGTGCCAGTCGAGAGCACAGCTTCAGCTTAAACATGCGACTGCATTCATTATTTTTTAAGAAAAAACTGATTCGATTTTGACTGCCTGATAGACGGTAGATTCTCTGCTCGTCGTGAAGAGGGGGGGAAGGTAACGTCTCATCATCATGAAGAACGAGCATTCCGGTTTTGGAGACACCGAAAGATCTTAATGGTCAGTGTGGAGAATGCTGTAGTACCGCTAAATCAGGACCAAGAGAGTGGTAGACATTGCGTGGTTGGAATTTGCAGACTGCTTTTTCTTTCGACTGGGAGGCGCTTGATTTGGCAGCGGCCGCCGCACATCTTGAAGAGTGTCGCTTTGTCGTCGTGGCCGGGGAGCTCGGTTGCGGCAAGTGAAGCTGTTGTGGATGGGGTCCCACTGGAGGTACCGTATGGGAGAAGCAGTACGACATGTACGTGCCGCCGTCTCCTTTGACGGTGAAGGGGTTGTTGATGTGCTTGGGGATGACTTGTTTGTATTAACCATTGTTGGCTTGATGCTGATCATGGAAGCCGGCCTGTTTGGTGGTGATGGAGCGGATGTGTTCAGTGTTGGCCTTGGCGAAGTGGGATTGGTGGTACGGCTGTTTTCGAGGTTCTTGAGGGCAGCTCAGACAGTGGCTTTTTCAGTGATGGGGTCATTGTCGCGGGCAAATGAGTGAGCGTCATTGATCTGGTGGAAGAGTTGCTCGATGGGCTGTGTGGGAGTCCATTTTGCATTCATTTGGTTGATGTTTTTGTCGAGGTCGTCATTGGTCAGTGTTCCGTTCTGGTGATATCGGTGACTGTGGAGTAATATCGTCGGGGCGGGTCCTGGAGGGATTTGTCCTACTGTAGACCTCCTCAACTTCTTCCATTTTCTTCTTGAGGAGGGCCGGTTGCAGGCACACAGCGGCAACTAGGAGATACAGGACGGCCATGGTCGCTGGGTTGTGAATTGTCAGAGCAAATAATGAGGGACGGTGGCAACCGAGCGAGGGAGATTTCAAATCTTTGGTTGACACCGAAAGATATCTTACTCAATCCGCTCCACCGGCTTTTTAATAAAGATCCAAAATGACAATGACTGAACGCTTCAATCCGAAGCGAGCAAACCACCGTGAGCGGAAACCGTCCTTTCACAAGTGCCAACAAGAAGACAAAAGGACCTTCTTCTGTTCTGTTGTTATCTCAAGCTAGCTAGTAGCCAGCCAGCCATCCCGGAGCCGAAGTAGAGTCGACCATGGGTGTTACAAAAGTAGGAGATCTGTCGACGATTTTGACTTGATAACCGCGGAATTACAATTACCAGCTAACAAGAACCCTCTTCGTTCACTCTGCTCTATTACTTACACAGGAAGTTTTGAGAGCCGGTGATGGTACCAACTTTCCAACGTCGGGGAACAATTTGGTCATGCACTACGTGTAAGAATCGTTTCGACTGTGTTGGTGGCTATCTATGTTAGGGACCAACACTGCGGCTGTTACATTTAGTATGTCAACTCACACGGTGTCTTCCATCTCTTGGGGTATATCTTATCATAGAGGCACACTGGCATCCAATGGTCAAAAGTTTGACTCGAGCATCGACAAAGGACGTCCCTTTCGGTTCAAGATTGGCGTGGGGAAAGTCATTAGAGGGTGGGATGAAGGTAAGTCTTAGTCTCGTCGACTTGGCTAGCTAGCTAGCTATCTGGTTGACGGCTAGTCATTATTGTGAGAGCATCCACAAATGACCATGCTGACTGCCGTGTTCTCTTGTTTGCATAATGATGATATTCTATTTCGGTGTCTCTACATGTTGTTCATGTATGTAAAAAGGCGTCATGACAATGAGTCTGGGAGAGAAGGCCATTCTGCACATTTCTAGCGACTTTGGATATGGAGCTCGTGGTGTCCAAGGATACATCCCGGCCAATGCAGACTTGGATTTTGAAGTGGAACTCCTCGAAATCAACCCATAGACAAAAATGTCAACGAGTAATCGAATGAAATTGATAATATCAAAACAAGAACAACCACCGTATGGGACAGCTTGAATAAGCTGAAGCCGTGGGCATCTGATTCACCGTCGTATCGATAGGCACAGCCAGACCAATCCACAACCGATCTACCTGCTATAGTTAGTTAGTCTTCAGGGAGATCGGCAAGAATTAATTCTATTGTAGCAGTGTCAGTTCATTGGTGCTTTTGCTTTGTCTTCGCCAAACCAAACGTTTGTAACCCTAGCTAGTAGCCTTCTTAGAAAGACCCGCATCGAGTTGGATGGCAGATCCGAAACAGCAATCTCGCCGCCGCAAACACGCTAGTCCGAGTGTTGCTCCTCTTGGCAACGGCAAAAACAACGAAGACGAATATGACAACTGATAGCTCAAGTGATCCAAGAAGCACAAGGAGCAAGCATAGGAAATTCATGTCGAGGGAGGATGGGCTCAAGACACGGGAGAGCAGAGGACGATGACAGTCAGTACCAATGCAAAGAAAAAAAGCTATTCGACAAGACTTTTACGATTGATTGAGAGGAGCTTTCCAATATATTTTGGCTGCCCTCGTGGGACGGCCCTGAACTTAAATTTAAAAATTGTTCTGAAGGATCTACATGCAAATGCTCCTTTCCATTGCCACTGCTGATTGTGCACTTTGTAATTGTTCACCTGTCAGGCCACTGCCAATTGAATTGGTGGTTGCCAATCCATGGTTGCTGGTCTTCAAGGAATGCCGAAAGTCCAACAGGATAGTTTTGTGATCGGCAAAGAAGTCATACTGCTCAATTTCATCCACATGAATCTTTTTCACTGCCTTGGCATCGTCAGCAGCTTTGGGGTGTATGGTATGAGCCAGTTTGACCACAAAGACCACAGATGCATTTCTTCGTCGATTATCTCGTCGGGGGTCCGAATAGACACCCTGCAGCTTTAATTGTTCACTTCCACTCCCTTGTTCCAGTACAATCCCCATTTCTTCCTTCAATTCTCGATGCACAGCTTGTTCCACAGATTCTCCCACATCCACAAAACCACCCATAGTGGCCATCTGGTTGGTATCTTTTCGTTGAACCACCCAAATAAAAGTGTCATCACCTTCTTCTGATACCATGATTAAATCAATGGCAACACTTGGAGTACACAGACAGAAACCATGAGCGGCACACCAACAAGATCCTCTATGATCTGTTGAGTGGGGATGGCCACCATGCCACACTCGTTCATACCCTCGAATCCACATGGAAGAATCCCCTGCACCTCTTTGTAGCAGTTTCGAAATTTCTGGATGTTTACTGGCGGTAGAACAGAGCCATGACACCACAAATAAAACGTTCACCGCAATCGAGACTTTCAAAAGTACATTCTTGGATGATGCAGAAGCGTCTTGGGAAAGAAATCCCTTTCTTTGTTGCTTCTTATTTCTAGTACCGGTACCACTGACCAACATACCGCTCATTTTGATGCAGTCAGCTCCCTGTTGATATAGTATCGGTAGTGCTGTATTTCGTTTTCGAATTGATGATGCAGCATGGAATGACTCGATACGGTACCAGATTCAATCAAAACCAAGCGGTGGTATCCATGCAAATAACTTCTTGCTGGCTTGGCGTTGCCGTGCTCACCATCCAGTATGGCCATCCGCGGTACCTTTTAGCTAATCTTCTTTCCCGAATGGTCCCTGCATGCAGGCACAGTCTAGTCAAGCTTGCTACTCAGTAATATAAATAAGGATTCAGAAGCCTTGGACTGAACGACGACAATGCTAAAATGGCAATGGCAAGGCATCGACAAAGGATGCGGTTGCGGTGTTGCGGACAGTGAACTGGAACCTAAGACGTAGACGTAGACTACGGTAGCTAGCTACGGTAGGACAAATCAATGATCATTATGTTGCCAATATTAATATTTTTAATTTTATTTTAATACGTAGTGCTGATTCCGGCCGTCTGACGGTCAACCGTCAACCAGAATCTAGCCTCCACCCATCTACAGATCTACAGATATACAGAGACAACAAAGTAGCTTTTCCTCATAATCTTATAACATCATTCGTAATACATCTATCGCTACCTTTAGTCTCTTCAACAGATGTTATAAGATCCTTCTATACAACCGATACCACCACCGATCCGCTACACTGATCGAACGAACGGCACGACGCACCTCTATCGCTCGACGAACGAAACCTCGAACGCACCTCTATCGAACGAACGGCACAACGCACCTCTATCGCTCGACGAACGCACCTCTATCGCTCGACGAACGCACCTCTATCGATCGAACGGCACGACGCACCTCTATCCTCGAACGGCACCTCTATCCTCGAACGGCACGACGCACCTCTATCCTCGAACGAACCTCTATCCTCGAACAGAACGACGAAAGATACCGCACCTCTATCGACCGCTCCTCGAATCCTCGAATCCTCGAATCCTCGAACTGATACCGCTACCAGCTGATACCGCTACTAGCCAACAAACACCAACACCAACCAACCTACAATACCACTACCCACACATACACCACCTAGACACACAGGCCTTAAACGTCCGACAAAGGGAACTAAATATACCCGTGTCGCCCAACTTCAAATCCAATTCTACCCTCTCCTACAATGACTACCACTACACCAACTGAG